TAAATAAATATGGCAAGCCATCAACTAGGACCAAACCCTCTCACACTGAAGCAGGAAACAGCTTTGCAAACACAATAATCTTTATAGTGGTGTCGTGGAAACGGTTGCCGTGGCGGTGTGAGTGCTAAATTGCAGGATCAGTGCAGAATCATGAAAGCTTGTATCATCGAGAGGATATCACTCCTGCACACACACACACACACACACACACACTATACACGTCATCTCTTTACATAAAGACTCTGTAGGTCAGAGGTCAACAGTGAAAGTTAAGGCTGTCGCATATAGGAGACTAGTCCATGAAGGCATCACAATTTACTGATCCTAAAGGAAGTGCATTAGTGAATGAGAGTGTAGCTGTTATTCTGTGTGTGCGTGTGTGTATGAGTTTTCAGTCAGATTAGATGTGGTTTCACACCCCTTCCTGTTGTTCATCCATCAGGCTGTCAGTCTGCAGGGTTAGACACCACACACATCCTCATTAGCTAACACCCATACAACCAGATCTCTCTCTCTCTGTCATATCTCTATTAGCTTCTGTCTAGAAAATTAGCACAAATAACTTCCCTCAAGATCAAAGTCCCATCACAAAAAGAAACTGGAAGTGTACAACGGTACTTAGGTTCCAAAATGAACAATCGCCAAATACCAAGTGTGTGGTGGGGGGAAAAAATGGAAATAGCATTTGGGCAGTGATTCTATTAAGAGATGAGACCTAATACATGCTATAAATCAAAATACACGAATCATCTAAGTGACGTGCATAAATGAAATAAAAAAGAAAACATGTGGCACGTCTTTTTACAGCTTTTCTTTTCTGCATAACTCCATGTGGTGACATATTTGTGGAATATTCACATTATGAGACTAAAAATAATACATTAGGAACAAAATCACAACTTGTCTTCATGACTTTTTACTGATAGACATATATCTCCCATGTGGTGGAGATTATATATTTCCGAAACATAAATCTGAATAATATTTTTTTATTAATAAATAGTAGTTCATATAAAAAAAGGATTAAATATATTAAACAGTAATAGGTTTAATGGTAATTATTACACTCACTGACACAAATAATTATTGGTTAATAATAATCACCACATCATACCATCATTGCCATAGCATTTTTTATGTGAAACTGCAATAACAGTAAAACAAACTTTCTTTAGGAGCTGCTGCAAACTGTGTTTTTTTCTGATGGCCTGATTATGACAAATTAAAAGAATTTATAGCTCTATTCAATGAGAGTGAGAGAGAAAGTGAGTGAGTGTGTGGCATACGATTTTTGATGACAGGCAAACCTTCATTGGTTTAAATGAATCAAGGCAAACAGAAAAAACAATCCGAACACTATGAGCACAGCCAGAGGGATCCATGTGACAGACATGTCATTGTGCTCAGTCCGTCTCACATAAACACTCTCACACACACTCTCGGAGCATGTCTATGTCCATCTTGAGATTGTGATGACAGATGACGCACAGATTCATGTCTTAGTAAGACGCAACATACAGACAGCCTAGAGCCCCCAATAACACACATACACAAACACTTGAATAATCAGCCACATTATAACATAAAAGGACACCAATTAGATGAAAAACAAAATACTGGCCGAAAGCTTCACCCAATGGCTGTCACTGAGTAGCACTAAGCAATGCTGCCGGACAAAGAGAATCAGGCGGAAAACAAAAGGTACTAAGAGTAATTTGAAGTGAGTAAAAGTAGATAAAGAGAGACAGCGGGTCAGAGAGAGATGAGTCATATGATAAATACGGCTGCTTCAGTCCTCATCTAGAACACAAATATCACATCAAACTCATTCGCCTGTGAAACACTCACACAAATTCAAGGCCACAGTGAGCCCATCGCTGAGGAGATCAGAATTCTGCCAACACAGAGAGAATGATACACCGCGTCTTAAGAAAGCACTAGCCGATTTGACCAACTTGTTACAAAATCACAGCCAACATATGCACGTGATGTTAAATATACAGCTATGAGGGACCAATCAGATTATTGATGGCGGGGCTACCGAGCAAAACGTAACCCAAGAATGAAAATTTTGTGAAAATTGACTCACCCTCAGGTCATCCAAGATATAGATGAGTTTGTTTCTAAGAACAGATTTGGATAAATTTATCTTTACATCACTTGCTCACCAGCGGAACCCCTGCAGTGAATGGGTGCCGTCAGAATGAGAGCCCAAACAGCTAAAAACATCACAATAATCAACAAGTAATCCACATGACTACAGTCCATGTTAACATCTTGTGAAGTGAAAAGCTGTGTGTTTATAAGAAACAAATCCATAATTAAAATAAAAGTCCTCTATTCATAATAATGCTTTCTCCAGTGAAAATGTCGTCTTGTCTCAATCAGGAGAGAAATATGCACAGGTCAAGCACTGTTTAAAAGCAAAAACAGTCCAAAACAAAAATGTTGGTGGATTTTGTGAGAGGACAACATGGAATGTTTTTTTTCACTGGAGGAAACGTTATCATGGACTTGTATTTTGGCCAGAAGAGAGTGTTGATTGA